CCTTAGTAACCGGGAACTTGTCCCCACATAGCTGAGCTGTCTGGTCTCTCTAAACAGCCAAGACTGTTGGAAAATTCTTTATGTTGAATTGCTATCTGTTTCTCTGTAATTTGTACTTATTGGAGACATACAGAATAAAATGTCTAATACTGCTTCCACAAATATTTGAGGACTGCTAGTACATTTCCTTCCTCCACCCCTCCACAAGGCTTCTTTTCTTCCAACTAAGCCTTATTTCAAACAGGGTGCCAGTGTGGTATCGGGAAAAGAACGCAGCTTTGGAACCAGCACATAAGCATACAGCTCTCAGCCCCTCACATGACACTTTGAGCTTCTGTAATTTTCTCTGCAAAATGTGAATGAAAATACTCATCTAGCTGGGCTGTTGGGAGGACAGGGGGTAAGATGGGTAAGAGCTGTGTTCATAGTAAAAATCCACTGTGATCGAGTTAGTTTCAGCCACCCCATGTGACAGAGTAGAACTGCCCACAGGATTTCCTAGGTTTACAGAATCAGATTGCTACTTCTTTCCATTGTGGAGTGCCTGGTGGGTTTGAACCACTGGACCTTCAGCTTCACATGTTCATTGTTGTTGCTGTTAAGTGTCATCAAGTTGGTTCTGATTCATAGAGACCCCGCGTAGGGTTTCTAAAGATGGCTAGTGGGTTTGGACCCCTGACCTTTCAGGTAGCAAACTCTGAGTGTGGAGTTCTACAGTGCCACAGTAGGGCTTCATGCTCAGAGTTGTTGTCAAGTGCCATCAAGTTGGTTCCAACTCATAGCAGCCCTGTGTAGGGTTTCCAAGGAGTAGCTGGTGGGTTTGAACTGCCGACCTTGTGGTACAGTGCTTTATCCTACATCACCACACAACTTACTTGCTCATTGTTGTTGTTAAGTGCCGTTGAGTCAGTTCCAACTCATAGTGACCCTCTTAGGGCTTCCAAGGAGCGACTGGTAGGTTTGAACTGCCAACATTACTGTTAACAGTCCAGTGCTTTATCCTACAGCTCCACATCAAGAGCTGTTATACCTTCATCCACCTAACACGATTTGCAGTGCAGTCTGGTTTTCTGTGAGATAAATGTTTGCTTGTGTGTGTCTGTGTTGAATAGAATAAAATACTTTCTTTAAGGTCTAACTAAAGAATAGGGTCGGATTAGCTAATTCTGGGTACTTCTCTAATTATAGTCTACAATTGCATTGGTTTTTTTTGAGCCATATCACACTGACTCACTGAGTTTGCCAACTCAAACCCTAAGTCTCTTTAACTCTTGCCGCTCGCTGTTCAGCCAAGTTTCTCCCATTCAGACAATTGTTTCCCAGTAATCATGGCTTGTGAAAGTGGTAGTTCCAATTCTATCCTGTTGTCTCCTTGTGTTTGTCCTATTATGAGTCTCCAGTTGGTGTTAGAAAAGTGGTCTCACTGAACCCACAGCACCAGCTCTGCCGATCTGTGTCTATATCCGGGAAATAATAAATGCAGACCTTCTCACACTCTGTTTTTTGCCCAGATCTGAGAAGGTCTTATCTTGTGGAGCTGTGTTAGAATCAGAATGTGATGGGAATGTGTGAATGCTGCTGGTTGGCTGTGGGGGTTGGGGCTTTGCTGCTTGTGATGTGGGTAAAGCGGGACCTCTGTGACTCCAAGACCTCAAAGAGAGAGGCTCAGAAGAGCCAGAAGCAGAGGTGGAATTTATGTTTGGTTCCATGGTGTCTCTGGGGCTCCCAGAGGTTCCTCCCTCGGGCCAGATTCTCTCCCGGTGGAGGAAGCTCCTGGAAGTCTGCAGGCACGTTTAGAAGATTCGTTAACTCTTTGACTCCCGAGGCACGGTCGCCAGCATTTTCTCCTCTCACTCTGAAAGCAAATTCCCAGCTTTTGCCAAGCTGATCTTTCACCGTCTCTTCTGCCTTTTTGCAAGCCCTGGCTTTACACTGGAGTTTCTTCCAGATAGAAGAAAACCAAATTTGCTGAACCAAATTCTGGATTCAGGCCCATCTCAACCCCAGTCTCTCCTTCTCCCAAAAAGTTCCTTATTTCTCCAGGTGGGTTTCTTCTGAAATTTCTCGCTCGACCTTGGAGATCTCTCTCTGGGCCGCCTACCACCCAGGTTCTTAAGCAATGTCCCCTCCCGTCTCCTTACTTGCTCTATGTTAGGTAGACCTGACCATGGTCTTTAGAACAAGACCATTCAGGCAGTACTCGGTCCATTAACTAGAAAATTGTTTTCACCTTCAATGCTTAAAGGGTAGGATTAGCTGCAGGAGCTATAGGTTCTATTGACAAGGAATCCGAAAAAAACCACAAAGCAAAGGTGGTTATTTTTGCTGTTGTTTATTGCAACAGGAAATCCTGGTCTCTGCTGAAAATATAGATTTAAATTTTAAGTAATGAATTCAGTTCTTACTAGGTACTGCCCATTAGTTAAAATAGGTGATCCTTGACTTGTAAGAGAACTAATTTAAATTTTGTTAAGTAACTAATTAAAGCCATAAAGGGCTTAACTCCATCCGTGGCTTTTCATTTTCTTCAGGACAAATTCCAAACTCCTTAGGATGTAATCTTTTTTTTTTTTTCCCCCTAGCCTAATGTTTGGCCTGTCTGCACTCCAACCCAAAAGGATTGGCCGTTTTTTTGGTTTTTTTTTTGCCAAGGGTCAGGTGGTTCTGTGCAGCCGGAGCTTTGCGAAGCCCGTCTCCTCTGGCTGGAATGTTCTTTGTCTCTCTGGTAAATGTGTATTCATCATGTAAGACAACCCTTCCCCCTCCCCTTAATTACTTCCTCCCCTGTGCGCCCAGAAATTCTTGTCCTTATTCAGGCGGGATTTATTAGGGGCCTGCTTTGTGTCTGGCACCATGGCGGGCTTCCCCCCCCCCAACCCCCCCC